CCAACTTCGAAGAGCGATCTACTCCAAGTTTTGAAGCAAGAGTGGGCGAAAATCCCACAATCTAAAATTGACGAGATGATTCTCACGATGCCTCAAGAATCAACGAACTCCACGAAGCGAAAGGAAGATCTACTATATATTAATTAAATTATAAATATATCAGTTCATGTGAATATGACTGAAAATTTTCAAGTCTGGGAATAAGAAAGGCTCACTTTTCTAAACTAAACAGAAAAGGAACGCTTGATATGAGAATATTTTATATAAATAAATTCAACCCATTTTTTCTTCTTTTTTCTTTATGGTTTTATTAAAAAACAACGTATATGTGGGATTTTAAAAATATCAACCAAAAGATGAAAATCTCAAGTGAAATATTTACTTATTATAGTTTACTAGCCTTCACTTTTAAATAATGGAATATTCTTCACTGTGTAATGCATTCTAATCCTAGTGTTGTTTTTTTGTTGTTTTTTTAATACAAATAATAGAAGTAATGGCGTAAACAGGTTGACCAGGCACTACCAGGGTACCTCAAATTGCTGAAAACATCTTGAAACGGCTCCTTTCTTTGTATGTTTGCAGAGCCTGTGAAAGTCTGTACCAAAGAAATATGCAATGCTCTGAAATTGAATTGTGTGTAGTTACATCACAAAAACACTATTTTATAATAATAACAAAATCATGTTATCAATTCTACGCACAGAAAGCGAAAGTCTGTACCAAAAAAAATATACAATGCTCTGAAATTGAATTGTGTGTGTAGTTACATAACAAAAACACTATTTTATAATAATAATAACAAAATCATGTTATCAATTTTACGCACAGAAAGAAATTAGTTTTACAAATTACATATTAATGTTTGTTTCCGTAAGTTTGATTATTTTTTCATCCTCTTCACACTTCGTATCGCTCCTACTGTAACAAACTAGTATTTTGCATTTCAACTCTATTATACGTCGAGAATTTATCATCGCTTGTTCAAACATTGACTGGACACGTGACGGCAAGGCCAGGAATTGGCTACGCCACTGTACAAAAGCCGACAGAGTAATATCCAACGAAGACGAAAAAAAAGGTACATTTCTTTTTATAGAAAAATTAATGTAATGATGGATAATGCAGATTAATGCATGCTTTTTTAATGTGTTTAAGATATGTTTTCATTAATGAGAGAAAAAAACAACCTTAAATAACTTTAGTTTCAAATATCACTAAATGACGGTTAAGTTGCCAATATAATTTTTGTATATTTTCTAACTGTTTATAATCTTAAAACTATCAATTTATGAAAATTATATTTTCACACATACAAAAAATAAATATAATTATTCAGACTTATCCGTTAATGTATAGATTTTATATTTAGATATATATTTCCTTAAATTACACTAAATGTTTCAGATGGCGCTAAATTATTTACGAAGTTGAAAATAATGTGCTCAGAGCAGTCCAACGAAGACTTTTTAGAAAAAGTAGATCTACCAAAGAAATCTCTGTGAGTATTATTATAGATGTGTAACTATATTATAATAACTTATAAGAATATGTGATATGATATATCAGTATTGTTGTACTGACATTAGATAGTGTGAATTGTCAAACATGTTGGCCATACACGCGGCTCTGTGATGCTGATGTAATTGATTATTCAGTAAGTAACTTAATAAGTCAATTACTAAATTAGTTTATACTATAAATAATTTATACTATTGTATTAGTATACTGTATAGGGAGCGGTAGTCCAAATACCAGGCTGTGTACTCTTTTTTTTTTTTTCAAAGTTGAACACCATATGTTACAGCAGTTAGCATCAAGTTGTGAAAGGAATACCTAAGCTTCATAATCATATTTGGGCTAAAGGCAGTGGGTGAACTGGGGATGAACGGAAACGAAGAAATATCCTTTCATTTTCACTTTTTGCAGCAGCGCATTGACGTATTCCTGCCTTTCAGTTTCATTTTCATTCAAACACTGCCTATAATAAAAAAGATGGCACTCCATAATAGCCTTGTCCAGTTACTTTTAGACAAAAGATAATGGCTTATTAAAATTTAAAAGCTATATTTGATTTTGAATGAAAAAAAACAAATAATTTTACCATATTACATGAAATTCAGTCAAGTAACAAACTTACATTTACTCAGCTTTAAAACTTGCTAGAATATTATTTAGCATGCCTCGCCCCCCCACGGGCTTCGGATCAGTTTGCTCTTGCATATCATTGTGCAGACAGTCCTTTTCTCGACCAGCAGTTGTTAGGTTCCATTTTACCTGTTTGAGGTGTGGCCCTCAAATCTCCTGTAAATCTGGCCCATGCCCAATTTTTACCACCTTTCTCTTACCCTTACAACACTTTTACAGTATCTCTCTACCATCCATCTCCTCTCTGAGGCTTTTCAACAAAATCCTGAGGGATTTTCTGGGAACATCCTCTCCCTTCTTTCCTCCACATTGGTTCCTTTGTCGTCTGAGGCTCTGGCTTTACATGCATGATTTCTCTGTTGTTGGGACCTTCCAGGTTGTGATGAGACCTTAACTCATGTCTGTTTACCATCATCTTCAGGATTTATGTATGGCCCCATTTCTGCAGCAATACATTTTTGACATGATCCCTGAGTATTGGGAATTATGAGTTGCATCAGTACAACAATAGTCTACCCTGTCCAACCTTGTTGCCCATTTGTCTCAGCCAGGGGCCTAATGTGGCACCTGTTACTGTTTCTCATGCCTCCCCTTCCCAACCTTTACCTGTCCCTTCTTCTTGGGGTGCCTCATATCACTATTTTCTTCAACAACATGTCATGTCTTCAACAGTATTGGTGACTACCTGGTAAGTTCTGGTCCAGTGAGAACTCAGCTTGCCGATTTTCTTCATCACTGACATCTTTTTGTCAAGGATAATTAGGTTCTTCAAGTTTTATCAGAAGGATTCGTGATCCTTTTTTTCCCCACCTCCCATGTCTCCTATCCTCGTTTCCTTCCCTCCTCGGAATCCCATGACCAGCCAGTGTCTGTCGGAGGCGGTTCAGGAACTACTATCTCAGCAGGCCATCCAAATTGTTCTACATCCTTCACCAGGTTTTTATTCCAGATTCTTTGTTGTTCCCAAGTAAACCAGGGACTGTTGGCCTGTCATCGATTTGCCCCACCTCAGTTGCTTTTTCAACTGCCACATTTTACCATGGAGTCATTTCTAACCCTACAGTGGGCATTTTCTCCAGGCTTATGGCTGACCAAGATGGGCATTGCCAATGCTTATCTCCACATACCTATCAATTTCTTGTCCTACCCTTCGGGTTTGCTTCTGCCCCTTATGTTTTTTGTTGGGTGGTCAGAGCTTTTACTCACAATTTTCATGCTCTGGGGTTGCGATTCAACCATTATATGGATGACTGGCATCTTCTGGCTCATTCTGAACTGGAGGCATTTAGCCATTCTCATCAGCCCCTTCTAGTGGCTGCTTTGGTGGGCTGATTAATGAAATTGGATAAGTCCTTCCTCCAACCTACCCAATATCATGTCCACTTGAGTGTCTCTTTTGACACTTATTTCAGTCAGGCCCAACCTTATCCTCTATGACTTCATTCCATGGAACTGTTACTTTGTCACACTCTTTCAGCTCCCTCTCATTCTGCTCATAAGGTTCTATTGCTTTTGGAAATGTGATCTTCTATGACATCACTGGTCCTCTTTGGTCGTGCACATATGTGATCTCTTCACAATCAATGGAACCTTGCTCGGGATACCTTGTCAGCTGCTTTAACCCTTCCTCTTACTCTGATGGATGATCTGCATTGGTATGTGGACAAGATCCATATGTTGGTGGGCACCTTGTTTTCTCTTCCTCGTCCAAAATCTACATCTTTTCACAGACACATCCCTTCAGGGCTAGGGTGCATGGGTCAATCACCAGGAGGCTTTGAGTCATTGATCTTTAGATGAAAGGTCTTTGCATATCAACGTCCTTGAGCTTCTCGCAGTCCATCCGACTCTGAATTACTTCCTTCCTCTTGCCAGACGTTGTCTGGCGATGATTCATTTCAACAATTCTACAGTGGTAGCACATATCAATCATCGAGGGGTCACCCGGTTGAGATCCCTCTGTTTTTGAATGTTGGATCTACTATATTGGGCCCCACATTCATCTCATTGCGTGTCACTTTCCGGGTGCTTTCAATCTTGTCGTGGATTGTTTTTCCTGCTCTGACCAAATATATCCAATGGAGTGGTCTATAAATCCCCTCATTTTCCAGTGGCTTTGCAATAAGTGGGCTTTTCCCAACGTAGATGCATTTGCCACATATTTCAATCACAAGTTACCCCTCTTTTCGTCCTTGTCAGTGGAGAGAAATACCTATTGGAAATACATTTTCAGTATAGGAAAAATTATAACTTTATTGTTAATATTTGTAGTATGTTTAAGCCTGTAATTTTAACTTCCCTATCAGTACAACTATTTAATGTATTAGACATACTATCAAAAAATCTAAATAGTGATCCCAAAATTAAAGAATTTACCCCACCTGTATCGAGATTGTGACTGACAGATCTTATTAAAGTCTTATTCTTATAATACTCCTCTAAACAGTTTCCTAAGCTGCTTAAATGAGGTTCATGATTTTGACATGTACAGATTTCTTCTATGCCTTTCAACTTACCTCAGAAGTCTAATCAGTTTATTTGTAGATACAAACACCTTTCCTATTATTGTTCAAGAAACTTTGTACTCTGCTTAAACCCTCTTACCCATGTGTTACAGGTGGAATAACCTAAAAAAGTTACTTTTATTAACATTTCTGTACTTAAAAGTTCAAAGAAGCTCTTTACACTTAATTAATAACTCCTCAGTTCTGCTTTTAATTGTCATTAACTCCAGTATGCACCATAAAAAGAACAACTTGATTAGTTCCCAACATTAAATGTTCTTCACAGTATTCTGAACTTAGTACCTGATAATTAAATTATAGTTTGTTTTCTCTGTGTGCTTAATTTCAAAAATGTTTTATAGTATTCTATAATAGATAATTTTCTATGGCAAAATTCTCTCAAGTGTTGTTCTTAATCATTCTGATCAACAATCAGAAGCTTGAGTCTATTTGATACTATACTTGTACCTAAGATAGTTAGATTTGTCAGAAACAAAGTCTTGGTTAGATTATATGTATAAAGTATGACAGTACAGGGAGCAAAAGCTTCTCAGTACAGTGTGGATAGGTTTCCTATATCAATAACAAACCAAAAAAAAAACCTTTGAATAAGCTGTAATTCCTCTCTGTAATAGCACAGTAAATGTATGATATATTATGGTAGCCCTAAAATACTGACTGTAGACATACATAGCTTACAGTGTACCGATCTTTTGTACTGACAATTGATAGTTGTGTAAAGTATATTTTACAACTATGTATATGCTGAAACAGTAAGAGGGCATTTCACAAGCAAAGTAACTAAAGAAGCAAAAACCCATTGTTTTGAAATGAATGTTTAAATTTAGGGTTAATACAACATAGTTACTATTTAAACCTGTAATTTTTTTTAGAGTTCTGCCACAGTTATTTTCATGATTTCCTAGTAATTATCATCATACCTTTATAAAACTTCTATTTTCTTTATTTTGTGAATAATAACATAGTTTACATTAGCTTTCAGCCAAAGAGACGTAAATGTTATCGGATGCTGTTACTGTCCAAAAGGTAAATCGGGATTTTTGGCCAGATGCTGGCAGCATCCGATTGGATTTAAGGGGTTAATGATTAATTTCTGTACATTTTGTCAAATGGTTACACAACTATTTGATTAACCTTGTAGAACTGTTAAAATTTTGTACAGGCTACCATTATTGTATCAAATAGCTATGCCAATATTTTGTGAAATAATATTACAACACCATGTGACTGTATTTGTTTACACTAGAAATTTCTGCAGTTAACAAAATATAATTTTAACCTAAACAATTTTTAGTATTCTCCAGATTTGGTTATTGCCCAATGGGTGCATTTTAAGATATAAAACCTATTTTTATTTTTTTATTAATTTAAAGTAAATCAGAAAAGAAGTAGTGAAGTTTTAAATTTTTTCTATTCAAAGGAGTAAAATTAATTTGGCCATTAAGATTTTAAGAAGTTAAATTTTGCTGTGGAGTAAAAGTAGAACTTTTTTCAGAGTCTTTTTTACAGTATCAAGTATTTGGTTAGTGACTTAACTGGGCTGCTTATAGTATTTATGGGCTTTTGTATTACATTTAATTTTGTTATACTGAAAAGTTGGTCAATGATAATAATGTATGTAATAAGAGACGTAATATTATCATTAGTTTATTTCATTATTTTGGAATTACGTTTTCATTAATGATGCTCAGAGAATTAAGTTATTTAATTTCTTTTAATAGTTATGGCAGCTCATGCAAAAAGTGTGGAGCCAAATCAGATGTTGTTCTCAAAATGCTTGATCCTTTCTGCAAGTATGTAATTCTTTTTTTTTTACATGTATCTATTATGTTGATCAACATCTTCTATTCTTTCTCTGTTTTTGTGATTGATGAGGTAACAAATTTCATAGATACATAGATTTTGTAATATCAATTTATAGTATTATCAAAGTTTTAAATTATTAGATTGAGCATTTCAGAATTTGAAAAACTGTTCTATTCAATAATCATGCACTAATGGTTTCAAAATTATTATTTTCATGCCTTACAAATTTATAAAATTAAATAAGTTAATACAAATTTGCATTCAAACGTAAACCATTGTGTTACTGTTCTTTTGAACTTTAGATATAAATTACATGTTTTAAAAATTATGGATGTATTTAGAAATTTCATGTTGGGAATTCCATTCAATAACTATTAGTTATCATTTATCATCAAATATAATTTGTTGGAATAAATGCCCCAGTGTACAACTGTCTGATATTTAGTTGAAATATTTCTATTTGCATTTCTATAACTTCTTTTTGTGTAAAGACATTTTTTCTTGAGCTTATTCACAAACCTAAAGGTTGTATAAATTATATTTGTTTTGATTCGTCATTTCTATAATTTTATTTGCATCAGCTCTTCTTCTTCTTTTTTTTCCCCAAGGTCCTGTTTTCTAGCATACTGCACTCACAAATTTCGTGCTACACTGGGAAAGTCAAGGCAGATAAAATTTGGAGAAAAGATCCTTGTTGGATTTTCAGGAAGTGCAGCCTCAGTGGCATTAGTACATATGCTCCAAGAGGTAAAAATGCAAATGTTATTATGCACTTCTTTGTAGGATATAAATCTTAACATTTTCTTTTAAAAGGGAGTGGCTGGGGATATGAAACACCAAATTTTCTAATATTAAAGTTGTAAGATGGTTTTTCATACATAAATCAAAACTAATGATCGTATTAAATATACTTTTTTATTTTACTTACTCTGAATGTTTATTAGTACATCAGTTTGTAATTTCCATGCACTTTTGATGGAAATATCTCATTAGTTTAATGAAGAATAATATAACAAGTTTCTTGGATTATTAAAAGTTTTTTTTATTATAATGCTCTACATTTTCCCCACTTTTCAATATATCCAATTAAAAATGCATCAGAATTAGGAAATCTATTCTCAGCAAAAGAAGGAGAATGCATACAATTTAATCCAGAACCCAAAAGTTTCCAGGGCCTAAGATGAGTCCCTAAGCTCAGTCGAAAAAACTTGCCTCCTAACCCTCTTTATTAATAGCACTGTATTCCAAATGACTGATTCAGCTATCCAGATGTTTCAATAATCTGCAACAAGTACTTCATTACAAATGTTTGAATTAACAAGGTTTCACTTTATACATGTTTTTCAGAAAAAGTATAAAAAACTTGTACTTCTGTCCTCCTCACTTTTCCTATGCAACTGTAATAGCATGCATTATTAACTAGTATTGGTGGACATGCAGCTGGTTAAGAGGCATTTATTATTATTTTCACATGAATCATCATTTTGTTCAAACCAGTGACTTACTTACAGAATATAAAATACATAATATTGCATACTTGTGTAAGCAAGATATCATGCTTTAATAATGCTGATATTTCTACACATCTGCAATTTGAAACACTATGGCTTGACATGTCTGTAACATCAGTTACTCTGATGATATCTTGATATCTGTTGTAATATACACATATATCTCTGCTGTGAGGTTGTTCTCAGAAATATTGAGTGTTTTGTGGTCAGTAATTATCACCTCGTTCCTGTTCTGATCAACCCCTGTTTGACTCTCATGAGTCATGTCCAGGTTACTAAATCCTGTATCCATAGGAAATGTGTTTTTGATATAAGAAGTGGCTATTCAGGTACCAAATACAAACACACAAATTATTAATAAGTTTCCCCATTTGAAGATTTGGCTAGATGAAAAATCATCTGGATTTTGAATAATCAGTTTGTAAGTTTCCCTACTAATGGAGATTCACTGTACCTAAGAATAAGCTTATGTGATTTTTAGCTTACTACTACCAACTTCAACATGTTAATAATTCAATCAAACATCGAATCAGTTACATGATTATGTCTCATGAAAGATTCAGTAACATGTTTAATGCCTTTAAATAACTGACAGTGTATGAGATGAACTGAGGTTGTCTTGTTGTTCAAATATTTTTTAAATGTTTCACAACACATTTAAATATTTGTGCATTTTGCATTAATTTATTGGAATATATTATCCAGTTCAAAACCTTATTACTTGTGTGTGTGTATATATATACATGTATTTATGTGATGCTAAATATTAAGATTTTTAATATAGGGTTTAAAGGAAGAAGCCCACAAGAAGTTCTTGTTCACACCTGGTTTTGTTTATGTTGATGGTGAGTGTCTTAGCATTATTTGGTGTCATTGTTTGATATTAGTATATTTTGACATTTGATTTATATTAATGCATGTTTATTTGACCCTAAAATTAATCAGTACATTTTATATAAAGCAATATTTCTGTTGATTGGGTTAAGTCTAAGCTATTAGTGTTTATAACAAGATAACTGTTTATAGGAAAGATGCCTTCATACAAGTAAACAAGTTTTATATTACATGACTGATTACAGAATAGGCTTAACTCATGTTGAGGTTTTTATAACTCTTCCATATTTTGTATTTTGTTTTCTAAGGAATTTGCTTGATTTTAATAATGAAAGAAGAAACTTAAAATACTTAAAAAATGATTTACTGTTTGCTTTTAATACTCATAACCAGAGGGACAAACTGTGGGTCTTACTGTATCAGAAAGAGAGAAAAACTGTGAAGAAATTATTCACATGATGAGGAGCTCGGGATTTCAGTGTTACTTCACAACACTTGAAATGGTAATCGAAGATTTATTTCAATAGTTATTGCTGTTTTTGTTTATGTTTTTACAAAAATGTTTTTCAGGCTGTTATAAACAACTTGTGCCACACCAATTACTTTACGCAAACAGTAAGTCCAGATTTATGTTAATGGTGCTTTTGTATAAGGTAATCTGAACTATATTATTTACAAAAAAATATCTATTAGGATATACTGTTAGTACTAATATATATCCAGAATAATTAATTACAGCCCAAAAGCTGTTACTACGTATCAGTTTCTTTTGTATATTTACTAAAATCTTACTTATTTTGGGCATTTAAATAAGTGTTTTAAAAGTTAATTCCTGAGTAGCTATGAACAATACAATTTCTATTACTTGTTACAATTTCCAGGCTTTTGGAGGATACTCAGAAGATAGAGATTTACCAGTGTTAAATGTTGAAGAAGTTAAATCAAGTTCCTATCTAAATAAAGGTGATTCCTGTGATTTACAGAAAACTTTAAGTAGTTTAAAATCACTCACGGTGAAAGAGGAATTCCTGAAGTACACAAGGTAAACTAAAATCTGTTTTACAAGCTAAATATACTACTATTGAGATAAGAACATTCAAAAGAATTATAAGTTCTTCATTGTTAACTTTTTTTAAAAGATGTTTCTTCATATGCTGGTAAATTTATTTAAACAAGGGTAAAGTGTGCTTTGTGGAATCATATTCTTGCCATGAGAGAATGCCTTTCTTTTTTTCTTTTGAATCTTCTTCAGTCAAGATGCTGTTTAACATATTTCAAGAAAGAATTGTTTTAACATGTTTAACCACATGTAGATTATGAAGGAAATAACATAATAAAGCAGCATTATATAAGTATATGATCTGATGAACAATTATGTCTAATAGAAAGGGAATAGGTTGCATTACATCTAAGCAGGGTAGCAAAAGGGGGGTACATGCCACCCCACTTGGAAGAATGTTTTTATAGGAAAACAATTTCACACCTAGCTTTTCCTGACATTTCTTCTTTACCCCTTCCTCCCACCACACACACACACTTTTAAAAAGAAAAGGCACTCATGTGCATGTGAAAATAGTTTCATAGCAAAGGACATGAAAATTAGTTAATGGAAGTTAATGCTGTGTAATATTATGTACATTTTGTATATTAAAATCAATAGTAAGGTTTTTGTGATTAATATTAAGAGTAGCTTAAAACTCAATGTCAACAGATAGATATTGTAATATATTAAAAGTTACTAGTTGAATTTTCTTCAGTAATGTTTCTGCAGTTCTATAAAAATTGTTTTAAGTTTTTAAATAGATAGATGTGTTAAACATGTTCACTCATATATTGTTCTTAACTAAAAGAAAACAGTAACTTATTGGAACAACTTTTGTAACAAACCTGATAACCTTAAACCTGACTTGTCTACCTTCTGGAAAACTTTTAAAAGCATATGCTTAGAAAACAATGATACAGGCAACATATCTTATGAAAACCTCACTGCCACTACTGATAAACAAAAATCAGACCTGTTTCCACGTTATTTCAAAAAAACATTTGTTACCCCGCAGGATGCTAGATTCAATAGTAAGCACCAGGACAAAATAAATTTCTTTATTAATGCTAACACTAAATCCTTTTCTATCTCTTTCCTGGTCAACATACACCAGCACCACACTCCTAGTTCACCACAGAACATATCTACCCCTATAACTATACCTGAAGTCAAAATCCACTTGAAAAACCTCAAAAACAAAGCTCCCAGGCAAAGACTAAATCCTTAATATAGTTCTAAAGAATGCATCCCCCAAACTTCTAACACATCTCACTAATCTATATAATCTATCCCTTTTCTCCAGTTATCTCCCTAGTGCATGGAAATCAGTCGTCATCACAGTTATCCCAAAAAAAGGTATTCAATCAAAAAATCCAAGCGACTTCAGACCCATCAGGTTAATCAACTGCACAGGCAAACTTTTAGAGAAAAGTATAATAATGAGGTTATTATGGATGTTAGAAAACAATAATAGTACACTATCACACATTCAGAATGTAGGATGCAAAAACAGACAGACTGCATATCACCTTGTACGTCTAATAGAGACCACGTTTACCGGATTCAACAAATTACAAGCCACTATTGCCACTTTCCTAGATGTACAAAAGCTTTTGACACAGTCTGGCACAACGGACTCAAATAGAAATCAATGAAGCACAAAATACCTAGCACATTCACTAAATGGATTTCTAATTTCCTAGATAATAGATCTGCAAAAGTTAAAATTAATACATCACTCTCACAACCCTTCACATTTAACACAAGTGTACCGCAGGGGTCTGTCTTAAGCCATTTGCTGTATACACTCTTTATTAACGATCTACCGCAGCCAACCGCGCCTCACAATATACTGATGATATAGCACTATGAAGCACCTCTTGGGACCCCTCACTAATGGTATAGAAAATTCAAATAGCCCTCAACAAAATCACACAATGATGCAACAAATGGGGGATAATACTCAATCCCACTAAAACCCAGGCAATTATACTTTTCCGCAGGTTAAACAAAAGACTAAAGCATGTCAAGTTAGCTAAACTAAGCCTCTATAATACTCCCATCTCATTCTCTAAATCTGCAAAATTCCTAGGAATAACCATCAACCCTAAACTAGCATGGCACACAGTTCAAGGAAATCAGTAAGAAAATTAAAACCAGAATAGCTTACCTCCAAAAAATAACTCACCATGCCCTCGGATGAAGACCACAGATAGTAATGTACATATACCAGACATTTATCAGACCTTTAATAGACTATGGCTCAATGGTAACTTGTGACATGAATAACAACCAATGTTTGATACTCCAAAATCTACAAAATAATGTAATACGTCTTGTCCCCGCCCTCACCAGCTTGCTATGTAGAGAAAGGCACCTCACTACATACAGTACAAGAACGTATTTCTAAACTTGCCACCAAATATTACAAAAAAGCCACCTACCGGAACTCACTCACAGCTGAATTTCATAAAATTGCCGCTACCCCCCAACCATGGTGCAAATATCTATCCCCATACAACATAATACACAACACCATTAACACACCACCATAATCTGTAAAACTATTAAGAGTATACTATATTCTTTGTATAACTATTTAAATTTTCAGTCTCTTTTGAGATCTTCATCCCTTCAATAGCTTTTCACTCTGGCACTAGCTGGGCTTTTCTTTCGGTCCCAACTAGTGAAAGTGGGTTTTCTCCAGATACTCCTGTTTCCCCCCACTCCAAACTCTTAGACATTGGATCTATAGATCCCAGCCATGGCACTTGGATCCACTGATCCCAACCAGGCCCTGTAAAGGCCCATTTGCTTCAGTTTGTTTCGATAAATTGTCAACAATTGCTGTCAACTTGCTCCTTCTACAAGATCAACCAGCCTCTGCTGCTATGCCATGGACTTGCTTTCACTTCCGCCCACATGCATCATCATCATCTGAGTATATATATATATATATATATATATATATTTATTTATCTATTTTTGTTTATTATTATTATTATTATTATTGTTTGCCCATATGGCTCATTAAAACGATGATCTCTCATTGAACTTCTAGGCTCGAGCAGGGTGAAGGAGGATTGCTAATCTTCGAGCACCCTTGATTATTAATTATTTCAGAAGAAATAATTAAGTTCAGATCAAAATAACTGCCAGAAATAGAAAAACAAACAGTAACAGTGAAAGGAACATGGAAAAATGAGCTCATTAAGATGGTTTATCGGAGTATTAAACACTGACCACTCTCCAGAAAAGAGAAACAGTGCTCATCCACCCATGGATTGGAAATATTAAAGACTAAGATTTGTTCGTGAAATTTCTATGTCAATTAAATTGGAGTGTTATTTTAGGAATGTTGTAAACCAAAGCTGCTATAACAGATTTTAAACAGAATATCTCACAATAGTAAAAAAAAGTCAAAGTTTGTTAAGAAAAAAGAAAGATTTGTGCAAAACTTCCTAAATATTAGCAAATAATTTCATGTGACATTATTAGTGGTTCTTGAAAGCTGTAAGCCTACATTTCTACAGAGATTCTTGAACTTTTAAAGAGTTTTTCATCAGAAGCACCAAAAAGAATGTCAAACTGGTATGTTAGAACAACAAAATCATATTCCTCTTGAGCATGCCTTAATGCTTGTGAATTATTATAATTAGAGAAAGAGACATGTTCATAAATCCTTTATTTGGAGACTCCTGGTCATTGAACCAATAATGTCTTTAGAGCATATAGGACAGGTACATTTGTAAACTAAGGATTTTAATTTCTTAACCTTGTCTCTAAATGGGAAGAAACTTCAAAGGTGAAATGAACTTCTAAAAACACATCTGACATATAATTGAGGATAAGAAGTGCAGAGCAATTTGAGGTTTTAAGTACAACTATTCATCCCCTCGATAAGGAAGTGTAAGGGTGATAGAAAGCTTATCAACCATAGGAAAAAGCAAAGACTTAGTATTTTTGGATATAGTTTCCATCGCTTTTTAAACATTATTTTCCACAAAATTAAGTGGGATCCTATTTTTGCAATGTGTTTAATATTAGCTGATTCTTGTTTGAAAGAAGAAAAATTACTACAAATTTATTTTGTACATCTTATTAGAACAGAAACAAGATTGCATTTAAAAGATCCAGGTATAATTCAAAGTTAAAGAACCATATAAGTATCTATGAAAGCAAGTAATATGAAAACCAGATAAGTAAATTGATTTTCAAATTCAACAGTAAATTTTATATTTTGGTGTTTGTTATTAAGGTGTGCTAAAAATGAAATAGTTTGATCATTGTTATTAAACAACACAAATGTATCATCACCACACCGATTATAATGAAGGGGCTTAAATTCACCAGGGCAGTTAGTGAACAACTGCCTTTCACGATAACTTAAGAATAAGTTTGCTAAAATAGAAATAAGGCAAAATCCCTCTACCAGCTTTCCGTACTATCTACATGGTCATAAATTTCATTGTCAAAAAAGTGAGAGTCCTTTATGCCAAATTACAATAATTAAAAAAATAAGACTTAGTATCCCTTTCACGATATTCTGATCATAATATTATATACTAGGTTTGTGGCCAACTGAGTACTTTTATTGAAAGGGATATTGGTGAAAAAGGACTCGACATCAAACTTGTCATAAAAATAGGTTTGGATAAATTAACAATTGTGATTTGGTTAGAAAAGGTGAAACTGTCTTCAACTGTTAGTTCAGAAGTAAACTCTTAGAAAATAGTGTAAAAAACATTCATATTATGATTGTAAGTACCAGTAATGGAAACAATGGGTCTCATGAGTATGGCAGCATTGTGTGTTTTTAGTAACCCATAAAGAATTCCCGAGTGAGAACCAACAGGTCATTAATTATTGTAAATACAATATGAAATGATTTTTATTTTATAAAAATCTTTTAAATTTAGGTTCTCTACTATTGGTACAATCTTGAGAGAGATTTTTAAATTTAGATTTATCTTACAGAATAGTTCCATTAATCTTCTCAGAACTTAATAAGTTGTTATCTCTCTACTCCTTGTTTTTGTTGTTCACTGTAGTATGTAAAGTTAAACAAAATTTAATTTAAACACTAGTGTTTATGTGTTCCATAAGTAAGGTATACTGTATTCTTTCTTTAATGTTACTTTCATTAATAGTATTTGTTCTCATATTTAATATATAGATTTTTATTACTTTTTTGATTGTTTTTTAATTATATTTTTATGATAAAGATTATTTTGCATTGTTAGCTTAGTATATGGATTTAGAAGTACCCTAAATCCCCTAAGCCAACCAAACATCATGAAATATAATGTGATTATGGCTGAAAATGTTACTAATGGCAAGGTTACTCAACTAATTAAACAATGCATCCTAATGTTTATAATAAGAATGCAACAACAGTATATTTACTTGGCTATGCTCATTACTGGATTGAGATTTTAGCTCTGAGCTATCTAGATAACTTAATTTGACCAGAAATTACTATTAATTTATCAAATGAAGAAATCTGATGGTTTGGTAGTTTTGTTGAAAGCTTCAACTGTTTGTTAGTCATTATAATACTGGAAGAGTCACTAATCAAAGACATAGAAAGTTTATAGCATAGCAAAATTGTACTGTTTTCCACCAATCATTGAAGTTTTCAGTTACCACTTTTTTGTTAAGTTATAAAGTAACATTTTTATTCACTCATTGATGTGTTTTCAAAGGATGCTTCAATAGTTCTTGTTGATATTTTGCAATGTTTATTATATAAATATAAAAACATTTATACTTAATTTAGGCTTCAAATTTTGACAAAGATTGCCAAACAACTAAAGTTTGATAAGCTTTTTCTCGGTGACACATCTACCAGATTAGCCAGTGCTGTACTCAGTGGAGTAGCACAGGGTCGAGGGGCTCAGATATCATCAGACATGGTAAATTATCACAGCCATTAACATTTTAAAACATTAAGTTTCAGCAATAGTTCTCTTTATTGTGATAACATAAGCTCTATTTTTGTTTGTAGGAAAAACTTTTTTTTTTTCCAGCATTTCTTTCCTTCATGTATTTAGTGGTTGTGTTAATAAGGCATTTTAGTTAATTGCAATAGGTTAAGATGAAATTAAACAACAATATTTTTTTCACAATTATTATAACACTAAATGCTGTAAAACACAATTTCCATAATCTTTAGTGATAATGAAATATTTCATCAATCATCATCTGTGCCTGAAGGTGATGAACATTTTCGAATAATCTTTTTGCCACATTAACATACTTCTGAATGATGAGATAAAGTAATAACAAATAATCGGTGTTAAAATAAATAATTTAATTATAAAAAACATTACTTTTTAATACTAGAAAAATTTGCTACTTAATTTTCATTATCTATAAATTTTGATAATACAATAAAAATATTACAATAAAATGAAAGTAAAATCACCAACTCCATAATATAGAAGTTTTTGTAGTACCCATAATTAAACGGAATTAATATCAGATATTTTTTTTTAAATTTTAGATGTATTCTTAATATGATAGTTTTCATAAAACTTAAGAATTTATGACAATTGCTTGTATTTCTAAAAACCTATGAGTGAAGGTAAAGAAAAATGGGAACCACACTATACCCAGTGCTGATGAGGTCCTTCACCCAATACCAAGGCTCATCACGCTGGCTTTGGACATGACAGATATAGTAGTGGTTGGGACACTATTTGTATTATCAAACTGTATGAACAAGAACTGTTATGGTGTGAACTAGATTAAGTTGGTGAAGTGACATTTTTATCAATTTTATTTAAGTCTTTTACAAATAACAATTTTTATTACCTAATAGCCAAGTTATGCATATAACAATCATTAGGCTGTATAAAGCGTTAACCATGATCTGATCTGATATATACAACCTTACCACCATCAATCTGAGCAATACATGCTTGTAGGGTTGCAACATCTGAACAACATGTTAGTCTGTATTTTCATCAAAAACTACCTGATATCAACATGTAACACAATTATCAAATAAGAAAGTATGAGTTCTCTAAGATTGACAGCCAGGCATTCTTACAAGACATGAAAAACATGCAAGAACCTAACTAATCACAAACAGATTTTTGGAATCACATACTGGTTCAATCTACCATTGTTTGTCTTGTTGTTTGCACCAGTTTTAAACATTCAAATTACATGGACTTCAAGACATCAATTAGTGATCATCAGTAACCAACCGGTAAGGAACTTACTTTTGAATCTAGCTTAAGGTTAAGAAGGCTACATCAGTCTCACTGTTTACCATTCAAGATTTTTGAAAATTTGTTTGGAGCATCAGAGTTAGTGGCAATACCATCAGGTGTTCCACCAACTATTAACCATTTTGGATTTGGAAAGCTAGGAGCAATAAATATTTTCAGTAAAACATGGTTTCTCTAGCAGTCCAGCTGTGATATATGGAGATATCACTGTGAATGGTTGTATAAATCTTAATGTATTTCTTAAAGAGTGTATTTATTATTTAACAACACATGTTAATTTGGTATTGACACCAGCTGTCAAAATAACAAGATTGTGATCGACTAACTTGAAAACAAAAACAGAGTTCATGAAGAGGACAAAAGGAATTCTTGTTTAAAATATTATAATGAAAAGAAATGTTTGGGGGGGGGGGGCTTGAATGCTTTGTACAACAGTTCCTTAAGCCATCATGCTACGTCAGAGATCTTCATGCATTGAGTAAAAAGAAGTATCCTCTACAGGTGTAGATACTGTATCAAGTGTAGGGATTCATCCTCACTACTTTTAGGCAAAAGCTAATTCAGTCAGAGCATAATCCTGAATGTAAATGTATTCATGTTCCATGAGTTGAAAGTGGAAGAGGCTTGATTTTGTTTGAATATTATTTAAATATATTGTAGTAGAGTTTCTTATATTGTGCTGTTTTACTAAGCCTACAGTATGATTTTATTTTTACTTATTTATAATACTTGCTCATTTTTTTTTCAGAGTTTTATGGACAACAGGCATAAACTACCTGTATTGAGACCCTTGAGGTAAGCTTAGTTTAGAACATTCAAATTACATGTATTTAATTATTTAGAAACAAAATAACAAGATATGGAAATTTAAATATGTGTGGATATGACATTAACTCTGCTGTTGAAACTGGTTCCATATTCACTTTAATTTGTTTACTGAATGTTTTTCAAGTGCATAAAGAAAACTTGGAAGTATCTATGCTAATTTTACAAATGTTAAGAAAATTGAAAATACGTATTTATTTCTATTATTGAAGATTTAAATATGTCGTTTTGAAAAGCTCAATACATTCTAATAGTGAATTTATGTACTTGTAATTAAAATAAGAGAAGGATAAGAACCAAATATTTATTTATTACATGTTGTTCAAAGTATATAGTACATGTCTTAAAAACAGCAAAACAAGCTTAATGAGGTAAAGCGAGCAAAGCATAAACTTTTTATTTGTGGCATAGTGGTAAGTTTGAAGTTTT